GGCGCAGTCCCTCCCGCTCGCCGCTGCCCTGCTCGCCGAAGCCGGGGATCCGGCGCGGGCGCCTGCGGGGATCCTCGTAACCTGGAAATCCTTTGGCACCCTCGGCGTATCCTGGGATGTTTTTGTTTCGCCCTAAGCCGACATCGGGAACTGTTGGCTTTGACAATTGTGTTTTGATGGATTTCTTTTTTGTTTTTTCCATAAATAAATTAGGAAGAATGAGGTTTGGCTTCTTCCCCAGAGGGGGGGAAAAAGAAGGGGGAGAAAAGCCAACTTCCCGTGGCCCCGTCCGTGCACAGGGGCCGCGCTGTCGTCGCCGGTGACGTGGGGTTACAACAGACGTATCCAGCCTCCCAGGAGAAAGCGGCCGCGCTCCCGCTCGCCAGCGTGGTGGGCTGCTGAGCGCGCGTGGTCTTTCCGTTGCCGCCCCGACAGAGCATCTGCTACCGCAGAAATAGTTGCTGGCCCGGGACCAGCAGGTTCCCGGGAACGGAGGTGATCGGTGCGCTCGGTGACTCACCGCCGTCGACAGATGCCGGTTATTCTTCTGCCTGGCGCAAAGTCCACGGTTTCGCTCCGACGGCGTAGCGTGAAACGTGGCCTTTGAGCTCGGCCGGGGCAGAGCGCTGCTATGGTTTATGATGCACAGCGAAAGGCTCCGGTCTCTGTTCTGCAAAGCCCAGGCACCGGGGCCGGGGAAGGACCAAAGCCCCACGTGAAGTGTCCACGGAAGAGCCGTCCTCCTTCCACGCCGCTCCGAGCAGCCACGATAGCCCCGTTTAAGCCTCCGCTCGGCTACGCTCCGGAGAAGCCTGAGGATCACACTCGGATTTCGCGCTTTAGCCTCACCATTGCTGTAGCATTTCCTGGGGAAATGGGTCTTCCTTCAGGAAAAGGAAGCCTCCTCTCCCCAAATCAGGAGCAGGCCCTGCACCTGGTGGTGACTCTTCACCCCCACCCCCCCACCCCAAGAGAGCTGCAGGGCTTTCTGGTGCCTTTTCTGGAGTCTCCTTCTCTGGAGATATTCAAGACCCGCCTGGACGCGATCCTGGGCAACGTGCTCTAGGTGACCGTGCTTGAGCAGGGGGGTTGGACTAGACGATCTCCAGAGGTTCCTGCCAACCTCAACCCTTCTGCGATTCTGTGGTCTTTAACCATCGCCCCTCGTTGCCCCCAAAAGCCTTCACCAGGCCTGGGAGAAGATGGAGGTGACTGTTGCCCAACGGAGAATAAAATGCACCTGTACTGGTCATGAAAATATCCCTTCTTTGCTTAGCAAGGCTTGTAGGACGGGCCTTGCCTGGTCTGGCCTGCCGCGACGCGGCTGGGACGGCTCGGTGGGGAAACGCGAAGGTTTGGGTTTGCCTCCTTCGGCGGAAATCCTGCTTCTTCGAAGGGGATTCTTCAAAATCTGTCATGAGGGAGCAGAGCGGAGTCCCCTGGCAGGGGATGCTGTCGCGGCTGGGGCACCCAGGCTAAGCGGGTTTCTCGCTCTGTGACGCTGGTTTTGGGTGAGCGGGTGGCCCCGTGCTTTTGTAACGCGCGTGGAAGGAGCAGTGCAAGAGGGAGCTGCCGTGCCAGGGCAAACCTGCCCTTTCCCGCGGAGCGCCCGCTGCCCGAGTGCTTGGGGCCGAGACGTGAGTGAGGAGATGTCGCTCCTGCGGCAGGGACGACCGAAGTCACGCCGAAAATCTGGCTGACCCGGGAATTGCCCCGCTTCCCTCCTGCCCTCTTGGCTTTGCTCTTTGAGCTGGGTAAGGCAGGGTGAGAGTAGGTTTAGTAGCAACGGGGAGAGGAGGTGGCAACGGGGTGATTTTTCCGGTTGACCAGTTGATCCAGTTCAGTGATGCTGCTGCAGGAACTCCGGGTGTTTGCAAAACAGATCACACACAGAAATCCCGTCGTGGGTCTGTAATCCCGGGGGGTGCTGGCAGGCTGCAGCGGGCAGAGGGTGGCAGCTCTGCTGGCGGGGGGGGCACGGCCCCTCTGCCCTACGGACGGGCCGCGGGAGGGATTTCTCACCCAAGACGTGGCCACCAGGGAGGGGGGCTTTCTGCTGTTCTCACATCTGATTTCCACGATGGTTTGGTTGAACCTCTTGTCATCGCTTCTGTGGGTCCGTGGTCTCATGTATCACCACGAGAGAACATCCTGAGCAGCGTCCGCACGGTCTCCAAGCTGCCGTGGTGGCTCTCTCCTCCCGTGTCCCCGTACGGCACGTCCAGGCTTCGGGCAGGCTGAGCTCCTGGCAGCCCTGCCCACCGTCCCCAAGGGAAACTTGAGCTGCTTGTTGGCAGCATCTGAGCTTTCTCCACCCCTCGGGAGGCTTTGATTGCTGGCTACAGGATTTCCGTGGTAAACAGGTTTGTCTTTGACCTTACGGTTTGATCTTCCTCTGCCCATTGCTGACATTTACTTTCTCAGTCCTGACTTCACCCAGTCTCTACAGGTTTTTCTTGGGCTGAGGACTACGGCAGGGACTCAGCTTAAGCTATGACCAGGATAAATGTTTGCTTAGACCATGGCAGCCCCGACACAGCTTCAGTGGTCCAAAATTGTGCTATAGTTGGGATCTTAACTATGTCCTTGTCAGTGAGGTGGGAGCCTTGGTCTGCTCATGGTTTTAACTGGAACACAAGGGTG